TTCTTGTATTCCATTGACATGAACTATGCTTAGTCTGTGATTTGTTATATATGTTATTATATTCTAGTTATTAATCAAAATGGATGTATAATCAATATATAAATGAGTGTATTTTAGACTAGAATCGTCGTCGTCGTTGTCGTGTTTTGGGGTTAATAAATCATCACTTATACCAGTCTTTGTGTTCTTACTTTCGCGTCGTAGGAACTGCAGAGGTCCCTCGTTCTTAGTATAAGTGGTAAGCGTTTCCAACAAAACAATCAACGACGACCAGATACAAAAAGTAGCATTAAAAAAGAGTCAAGACAAGAAGCATTCAAACGACAAGTTATAACAGAATCTAGTGTGATGAGCGTTTCGTCCTATTTGGGACTCATCAGTTGGATATATCTGCATTTGTTTATGTTCACTCCGGGACTCGAAACCAGTATCATTCACTTCAACAGCCATTACGTTATCCATTTAGCTATTGAATCCTAATAGTCACTTTTTTGTACAATGGGGTGAAGATTAAATTCACTTACTATTGTTTTTACTTGAATCTTCCCATTGGTATTTAGAACTACAATTGATCAGTACATACTGTGCGTATTGCATCGGTATTGCTTTGATTCACTTCACTTAATTCGCTTCCCATTAATTTTATGTTTATAATGAAGTAGTAATAACAATAAATAGTTAAATTATTAAAAAGATGGTTTGTAAATCACAGTAGAATCTAAAATATTTATTTCATCTTGATCATAATAATTCATTTCAGAATATCAAGATAGGGATAATTCGAGATGGTAGACAAGATTTGTAGCTCAGGTGGATGATTTTGATGGAGTTTTGTTCTCTGAGCTGGATGGTTTGGTCGTGGAGAAGGACGATGAAAGCTCCACGACCAAACCATCCAGCTCAGAGAACAAAACTCCATCAAAATAGGGATAATTCAAACCTTTCCTATCAATAAGCATACAAATATATTATACTATTTTAATAAGTAACTCCGCCTGGAGTCCCTCCGAGGGCTACTGCTGGTCCCAAGCCCGGATAAAGGAGGAGGGTTGGGCATGGGGTTAGCGTCCCCATCCCGTAGAAAACTAACTCGCTAAAACAACGCTAACCAGAAAAAATTATTCAAACCTTTAAAACTCTGCCCTGGGACTCAGAAGGTCTTCATTTAGAAGAATTATGACGCCTCATGATGAAAGCCGAATTCCTTCGGAAGTTACGAGGCCGATGCCCCTTCTGACAACCAGAGCGACCATTTATTTGGGTACATGGAATGTTCGTACAATGTGAGACACCGGGAGAGCCTTCCAAATTTCTGCAGAAATGAGAAGATACAACCTAGAGGTACTTGGGATCAGTGAAACACATTGGACACAAGTTGGACAACAACGACTAACTACAGGAGAGCTCCTGTTATACTCCGGCCATGAAGAAGAAAATGCACCACATACACAAGGAGTTGCATTGATGCTGTCCAAACAAGCGCAAAATGCACTTATAGGATGGGAATCTCATGGACCAAGGATCATCAAAGCCTCGTTTAAAACAAAGAAAGAGGGCATTTCAATGAACATCATCCAATGCTATGTGCCTACCAACGACTACAATGAAGACGCTAAAGATCAATTCTACAATAGGCTGCAGTCAATCATCGAGAAGTGCCCAACAAAGGACCTGACCATTCTGATGGGAGATTTCAACGCCAAGGTTGGAACGGACAACACTGGATATGAAGACATCATGGGACAACACGGACTGAGAGAAAGAAACGAAAATGGTGAGAGATTTGCAAATCTATGTGCCTTCAATAAGCTGGTCATAGGCGGCACCATATTCCCACATAAACGCATACACAAAACCACATGGACTTCACCGGATCACTCTACACAAAACCAAATCGACCATATTTGCATCAACAAAGCGTTCAGGAGGACTATAGAGGACGTGAGAACCAAGAGAGGAGCTGATATAGACTCAGATCATCACTTGCTGGTCGCCAAGATGAAATTGAAACTCAAGAAGCACTGGACAACGGGGCGGACAATATCACAAAAGTTCAATACGGCCTTTCTTCGGGATACTGACTAACTCAACGAATTCAAGATAGTCCTCAGCAATAAGTTCCAGGCCTTTCATGATCTACTCAATGGAGAAGGAACTACTATGGAGAGCAACTGGAAGGGGATCAAAGAGGCAATCACTTCAACATGTCATGAGGTCCTGGGCCACAAGAAGCACCATCACAAGGAATGGATCACTGTTGATACACTGGATAAGATTCAAAAAAGGAGGAACAAGAAAGCAGCCATCAATACCAGCCGAACAAGAGCAGAAAAAGCCAAGGCACAAGCTGAATACACAGAAGTAAACAAACAGGTGAAGAGGAGCATCAGAACCGACAAACGTAAATATGTGGAAGATTTAGCAACGACGGCGGAAAAGGTTGCAAGAGAAGGAAATATGAGACAATTGTATGAGACGACAAAGAAACTCTGTGGAAATCGCCGCAAACCAGAACTCTCACCCTTTCTCTTTCTCCTGGTGATCGACTGGATCATGAAGACGTCAACGTTTGAAGGGAAGCGCGGGATACAATGGACATCTAAGATGCAGTTGGATGATCTGGCCCTTCTATCCCAAACGCAACAACAGATGCAGGAGAAGACGAACAGTGTGGCAGCAGCCTCAGCAGCAATAGGTCTCAATATACACAAAGGAAAAAGCAGGATTCTCCGATACAACACAGAATGCACCAATCCAATCACAATTGACGGAGAAGATTTGGAAGATGTAAAAACCTTTACGTATTTGGGCAGCATCATTGATGAACAGGGTGGATCTGATGCAGATATGAAGGCGCGGATCGGCAAAGCAAGAGCAGCATATTTACAACTGAAGAACATCTGGAACTCAAAGCAACTGTCAACCAACACCAAGGTCAGAATTTTCAATACAAATGTCAAGACAGTTCTACTGTATGGGGCAGAAACTTGGAGAACTACGAAAGCCATCATCCAGAAAATACAGGTGTTTATTAACAATTGTCTACGCAAAATACTTCGGATCCATTGGCCGGACACTATTAGCAACAACGTACTGTGATAGGTAGAACAAATCAGATCCCAGCGGAGGAAGAAATCAGGAAGAAGCGCTGGGAGTGGATAGGACACACATTGAGGAAAGCACCTAACTGCGTCATAAGACAAGCCCTCACATGGAATCCTGAATGTCAAAAGAAAAGAGGAAGACCAAAGGACACATTACGCCGAGAAATGGAGATAGACATGAGAAAAATGAACAAGAATTGGATGGAACTAGAAAAGAAGGCGGAGGACAGAGTGGGTTGGAGAATGCTGGTCGGCGGCCTATGCTCCATTGGGAGCAACAGGCGTAAGTAAGTAAGTAAGTAAATAATTTTAATAAGTTGGTAGCTATCCTGACACAGTAGCTCAGTTGATTATGACTTAAGGATTCAGAGAGAAAGATACTAATTTTGAGTTCTAACACAAACATCAACACTAGTGTTTAATTTCAACGAACTCATATTCATTTCAGTTGAATATTTCGTATTAAAACTTTTATCACTTGTGGGTTTGTACCCCTATCAATGTATAACGTAATGATACCGCGGATTAGAGAATAGTGAATTGTCGACTGGATCGATGACGTATCAAACCTTTACGAGCATTCTGGAGTCTTTATCGGTCCCGCTTCGTGACTAAGCCTGCTTTTTAAGTCCAAAACACCAAATCTCAGCATCTGCAATATGAATCGTTTATTTCAAGTAAACTGGGTTTATATACCAACCAGACAGACCACATTGTACCATAAAATAGGAAACAACATTTTTACAAGATTTAGCCAAATGTGTCTGTGAATGTGGGAGATAATAATTGATAGATTGGGCATAACTCAAGATTGGCAAATCGTTTAATAATAGTCTATGGGTCAAAATAAAGCTTATAATAAGAGCAATACGAATATGCATAGTTTAGTTAGTTTATAATTATACGATAAACATATACGCATAGTAATAGTTCATAAATGGATTCCAAAAGTTACCATTCGTTATTCTTAACACCTAACTGTTGTGAATATCGTAACTATACACAATTCAGTCATTATTCTTACATAGAAGAATTAATTTATCAACTCAACTTTAAACACGTTCGAAAATGCTGATCGTCCGCCTATGCTCCATTGGGAGTAACAGGCGTAAGTAAATAAGTAAATAATGAGTAGAAAAATTAGATTTTCTGACGTTTCGTGACTTAGTGTAAACCACTTCTTCAGAGCAAACAAATAAACAAAATAAAATTAATCCAAGTTTAAATAGTACAATCGAACGATCAGAATGATTAATTTTAAATTGGTCACTTATTTTTCTGAAGAACTGCTTTACACGAAGTCACGAAACGTCAGAAAATCTAATTATTCTACTCATTGGGATATCTACAAATCTATTATTGATTTATATAAGTTGAATTTGTTCTTTCGGTAAGGAGTAATTGTCAGTCTACGATCGTTATGATAAATTATAGTTTTTATTGGTTACATCCTCCTTTACAAAATGCATACCAGTAGACGAGAAAGGACAACGAAGGGTGATCGAAATGATGATGATGATGATGATGATGATGATGATGATGATGATGATGATGATGATGATGATGATGATGATGATGATGATGATGATGATGATGATGATGATGATGATGATGATGATGATGATGATGATGATGATGATGATGATGATGATGATGATGATGATGATGATGATGATGATGATGATGATGATGATGATGATGATGATGATGATGATGATGATGATGATGATGATGATGATGATGATGATGATGATGATGATGATGATGATGATGATGATGATGATGATGATGATGATGATGATGATGATGATGATGATGATGATGATGATGATGATGATGATGATGATGATGATGATGATGATGATGATGATGATGATGATGATGATGATGATGATGATGAATGATGATGATGATGATGATGATGATGATGATGATGATGATGATGATGATGATGATGATGATGATGATGATGATGATGATGATGATGATGATGATGATGATGATGATGATGATGATGATGATGATGATGATGATGATGATGATGATGATGATGATGATGATGATGATGATGATGATGATGATGATGATGATGATGATGATGATGATGATGATGATGATGATGATGATGATGATGATGATGATGATGATGATGATGATGATGATGATGATGATGATGATGATGATGATGATGATGATGATGATGATGATGATGATGATGATGATGATGATGATGATGATGATGATGATGATGATGATGATGATGATGATGATGATGATGATGATGATGATGATGATGATGATGATGATGATGATGATGATGATGATGATGATGATGATGATGATGATGATGATGATGATGATGATGATGATGATGATGATGATGATGATGATGATGATGATGATGATGATGATGATGATGATGATGATGATGATGATGATGATGATGATGATGATGATGATGATGATGATGATGATGATGATGATGATGATGATGATGATGATGATGATGATGATGATGATGATGATGATGATGATGATGATGATGATGATGATGATGATGATGATGATGATGATGATGATGATGATGATGATGATGATGATGATGATGATGATGATGATGATGATGATGATGATGATGATGATGATGATGATGATGATGATGATGATGATGATGATGATGATGATGATGATGATGATGATGATGATGATGATGATGATGATGATGATGATGATGATGATGATGATGATGATGATGATGATGATGATGATGATGATGATGATGATGATGATGATGATGATGATGATGATGATGATGATGATGATGATGATGATGATGATGATGATGATGATGATGATGATGATGATGATGATGATGATGATGATGATGATGATGATGATGATGATGATGATGATGATGATGATGATGATGATGATGATGATGATGATGATGATGATGATGATGATGATGATGATGATGATGATGATGATGATGATGATGATGATGATGATGATGATGATGATGATGATGATGATGATGATGATGATGATGATGATGATGATGATGATGATGATGATGATGATGATGATGATGATGATGATGATGATGATGATGATGATGATGATGATGATGATGATGATGATGATGATGATGATGATGATGATGATGATGATGATGATGATGATGATGATGATGATGATGATGATGATGATGATGATGATGATGATGATGATGATGATGATGATGATGATGATGATGATGATGATGATGATGATGATGATGATGATGATGATGATGATGATGATGATGATGATGATGATGATGATGATGATGATGATGATGATGATGATGATGATGATGATGATGATGATGATGATGATGATGATGATGATGATGATGATGATGATGATGATGATGATGATGATGATGATGATGATGATGATGATGATGATGATGATGATGATGATGATGATGATGATGATGATGATGATGATGATGATGATGATGATGATGATGATGATGATGATGATGATGATGATGATGATGATGATGATGATGATGATGATGATGATGATGATGATGATGATGATGATGATGATGATGATGATGATGATGATGATGATGATGATGATGATGATGATGATGATGATGATGATGATGATGATGATGATGATGATGATGATGATGATGATGATGATGATGATGATGATGATGATGATGATGATGATGATGATGATGATGATGATGATGATGATGATGATGATGATGTGAAGGATAACTGAAGAAAGACATACAAATGATATCTGTAATGTATGGTTTTCATATTTTACAAAGACAGTGTGTGATTTGGTTAAGTCTTGGTTCACTACATTTGTAGTAGAAGTAGTAGCCGTTATAGTCTCAGTAGAATTATTTACATTAGGCTATGTAATTTTCACTTAACTAATTGTTATTTCATTCACTCTGAAATTACCTAATTCACTGAATGATTTTTATTCCATCCAATGTCCGAACTTTGTGAAAACTCTTTACTTTTTCTAGAATTATTACGCAAACCGTATTGTCAATTTTCCACTTCTAGATACGTTTAAAGGTTGAGATCATGAGTCAGTAGAAACTAGAACATCTTGTAGAAATTGGAAGCACTAGATGGCTATTTCGTCCTAGTGTAGGACTCCTCAGCAGCGTTCATCCACGATCCTACCTTGCAAGATCAGAACCCATAACCTATCGGTCAGACGTGAGAACTACTAACCTCCGGACCACTGAGACGACATCCAACGGTATTAATATTTAACTTCAACTAATCCACGAAATTGAGCGAAACATTCGCCATTATCTTCAGTGAGGACAAAACGGTCATCCATTGCTTCCAGTTTTTCCGAGGTGGTCTAACTTCAATTGGCTCATGAACTCAGCTATTAAATTACAGCAATCTTTACAAAACCCCCCTTTTGGTACTAATTTTAAATTTCTTTACTTAAACAAATTAAAATGGAACTTTTCGATAATGAATATACCTTTATATCCTGAAAAGTATCTTACAAAACTAAGGATATAGTATGTGACCTTAAGTTGAACTACTATTGATTGCTTATTCGATAATATATTCATGTAGGGTCAAAAAAATATTACTGAACCTTAGACAAAACATTTACAATGTTGAATGTATTTAGGCTGCACAAAACTGATTATCGAATATTGAATTATTTACTGAACTTCGTTAAGGTCAACAGTGACTAACGTTTATTAGCCAATTGATAACATAGTTTCGACATGTGAAGCAATTTCGTGGATTGGTTGATGTTAGACACTATCACCATTGAATGCCGGCTCAGTGGTCCAGTAGGTTAAAATGAAGTTTCAGTTTATCTATATGAACTCTCATGAATTGTTCTTATTGAATAAATCCTTTCACAGTGAGATTCTTAATGCTTTCAAGTATTCTATGAATGATGAATAGTCTAGCTATCAGATTATAATAGATCGATCCAACCAATCATTCGTATAATGTAATTTCAACGTAAGATTACGTAAGTTAAACAGTTATATTATATATATTTAACGCTAATAGATATTGCCAACCAATATCAAAGTCACAATCTTCAATATGAACGTCAAGGCAGTTCTACTGTATAGAGCTGAAACCTGGAGAACAACAATAACCACCATCAAGAACGTGCAAGTATTTATAAATATTTGTCTACGCAAGATACTCATCATCCATTGACCGGATACCATTGGCAACAGCTTTTGTGGGAGAGAACAGACCAACTTCCAGCTGGAGAAGAAATTAGGAAAAGACGATGGAAATGGATGGGACATACATTACGCAAATCATCAAACTGCATCACGAGGCAAGCCCTAATTTGGAATCCTGAAGGGAAGTGGAAAAGAGGAAGGCCAAAGAACGCAGATATGAAAAGGATGAATGAGAACTGGAAGGAGCTGGAAAGGATTGCCCAGGACAGGGTTGTATGGAGAATGCTGGTGAGCGGCCTATGCTCCTCGATGAGGAGTAACAGGCGTAAGTAAGTAAGATTAAAATCTACTTACCTACTTTTTTATTTACATTAATTACTTACCATTAAAGATTGAGCTATCTTCCTTTTTGATATAGAATTTTAATGAGTATAATATAAATATTAAAGTATTTTCACCTCCAGTCTAACCAGAAATACAGATATTTAACAAATGCATCTAATATTCAAATATTGTGTATGTAAACTATTCAAATAGCTTAGTTAGTTTATGGGGTTAGTAATAACAATAGAGAAAGGATTATGTAATTAATTATAATGATTAAAAAGTACAAACTGACAGTAAGATAACAGATATAGTAGTGAATACTACGAATAATGACCAGAACAGCATATCTACAATTGAAGAACATCTGAAACTCAAAACAACTGTCTGTCAACCAACACCAAAGTCACAATTCTCAATTCAAATGTCAAGAGAGTTCTACTGTCTACTGGGGCGAAAACTTGAAGAACTACGAAAGCAATCATTCAGAACATACAAGTGTTTATTAACAGTTGTCTATGCAAAATACTTCAGATCTGTTGGCCGGACACTATCATCAACAACCTACTATGGGAGAGAACAAACCAGATTACAATGGAGAAAGAAATCAAGAAGAAGCACTGGAAGTGGATAGGATACACACTGAGAAAAGCACCCAATTGCGTCACAAGGCAAGTCCTCACACAGAATCCTCAAGACCAAAGGGGACGAAGGGGAAGAGCAAAGGACACATTACGTTGAGAAATAGAGACAGACATGGGGAGAATGAACAAAAATTGAACAGGACTAGAAATAAAGGCCAAGGACAGAGTGAGTTTGAGAACGCTAGTTGGTGGCCTGTTCTCCATTGAGAGTAACAGGAATAAGTGAGTAAGTATTTACGAACAATGAACAGAATAATAATTTCAATAAATTTATTGAGAAAGAATGAAGGTTAATGCTAGAAAACATCAATGATTACGCAATACGAAATAGTTAGTTTAATTATGTAAATGGTAAACAGAGGAAAAAGAAAAATGCTAAATATGAAGAATTTTTAAGATCGTTTATTCAGTTACAAACATCTTTTAAGTTGAACAACTAGAACTGTTGACTTGAATTCCTACGGCTTCAGTTATATGTAAGACACGTAATCGACCGCTGTTTGAAAAGTGTTGACAATGTTTTATAAGTCATTGTAAACAGTTTTTTCTATCTGTTATGTGACTACTATAGACCATGTATGGTTGTGAACTAGAACATAAATGGGAATAATCGAATCTAATTGAACACAAAGTTACAGAATCTATTAGTAAAATCTAAGAACCATACAGTAAATACGTCATTTGCAAAATGTTAATCAATCATCTTAGACTTCACTGTTCCTTCATTACTACAGCAATCATTCTCCTTTCTTCGATGTTCTTAACCTTCTGCTACCAGCCATTTCACTTTCGATTGATGATACATACTACTTATATCTGTTAACATCAGTAGCACACATCACAATATGATTGAATGGAGTCGTATAGAGATTTTCTCAAATTCTTGCTAAGTCGTGAGAAGAGGTTATACCTTATTCGTTGAGTATGTTATCTGGTAGCATGGTAGATACAAATGCAGTATTTTACACAAATGCTTATTTAATGTTAGAATGCAATCTAATAACAATGTGACTAGAAAGAATATTATTCACTCATAAATGTTGTTTTGATACCAAGAAGGAAAATTTACAATAATCCATAACTGTTTGCGTAATCAACATTATAATTTTTAATCTTTTGCCCCCAAATGCCCTGGTACGGCCGAGAGTGGGGAAAGTCCGCTCTCCCTCTCGAAATGCTCTCACACGGCCACGCGTATATAGCCTCTGCCAGCGAAGTCCTACTCATTGCCTTCTCGTGGCGGGGATGTTATTCACAAAAATGAGAAGACAAAAAGCGAATGTCCGGTGCTTTAACCGGATCCTAAACTGATGGTGCACATGGGCTCCAGTATCCTGCGGGAACAAATGACGTATGAACCAATCGTTGGTCACCGGCTACCATGGGACTCCATCTCCTTACGATGCTCCACTGCCTTGTGGGTCAGACCTTTAAGTCAAAGGCTCGGGGTGTGGCTCCCTAAAATAACCACCTGCTTCGGTTTGGGCACCCGAGCAGTATCACAGCCCTCACACATATCGAATAAGATTTGTGTGGAGCATATGTATTTGGTGCCTTCTTGTACCAATATCTATGTGTTATAATAAATAATAATAATAAATAAATTTTAATCTTTTAGAGTGTTAATATAATTCTGTTCACTAAGCTCCTAAATGAAGTTTAGTCTAAATGACTTAACATAATGGTCCAGTTTCGTTTGACATTAGATAGTTAAATGAAAGTAACAGGAAAAACTACACCTTAAATTCACTTGGTATTGTTTTACTTGAATCTTCCCATTGATGTTTAGAACTGTAATTGATCAGTCACTTATTGGATTATGTACATACTGTGCGTATTGCCTCGATATTGACTTAATTCACAAGCATTCTAAGTAAAGATGGATAGTGGCTAGTAGTGGAATCCAGTTTGATGCGCGTTTCGTCCTATTTGGAACTCGTCATCTGGACGTATCTGCATCTCAGAGTTAACGTTCACTCTAGGACTCGAACTCAGTACCGTTCGTTCCAAACGCCATCGCATTATCCACTTAACTACTGAATCCTGATAGTCACTTGCTTATGCAATGGGATGAAATTTAAATTCCCCATGTAAATTGTTAAGGGAGTATAAAGTCATTATGAAATTCAAATACATTTGATTATTAAAAATATGACAAGTGAACTATTTGGAACACAATCGATTCCTTCTGATTTGACGTTGTAGTACACTGTTGTTGTTGTTGCTGTTGGTATAATGAACTAATTGATTCACACTAAAGATTATTTAACACAGAATTGATTATTCTTCATTAATGATTATTAAATCATCGATTTCAGATAATCATAAGTAAATTCAACATTAAGCTAAATCATCTGGTAACATGACATAGCTCAAAATCGTTTGCAATGGCGGAGGTGCATTCACTCCTTGTGTTCACCCAAATTCTAATCTTCTGAATTCTTCACGTCCCTTTCTTTATTCTTTCCAAATTTATTTTACTGGATTATACTCCTTGAATAGTATCTTCAAACTTTAATCTTTCTGATTACTGCTTATAATTTACTACCTCTACCACTATAAGATTTGAATCGACAACTGCATCTCTGTGCTAATGTGGTATAGCAACTCGAACTGATCTACGTACGTACGAAGTTCTACGTTGTTACTGACTGACTGATCTAGTAACAACATCTCTAACTACTAAATAACGATTTTTTTAAATAGAAATGGGCCCACCTAACATTGTAAAACAGAAAAGTCTAAATAATGATGTTCTACTAATTATATTTACTTGTGTTAAGTGAAGATTCAAATGATAACAGTGAAATGAGTAGAAAAAGTAGTAAATAATGAAAACATTTTCCATTGAACATTTCAATCATTCCCTCTCTCTTGCTCGCTCTCTATGTATGTATCATTCTTTTTTGGAAAAGAAAAGAATGACTTCATGGGACTAGAATCATTATTCCAAAATGTAATCAGAATGTTATGGCGCAAATATAAAGAAATATATATGTATATATATACTTTACTATATGACATACAAACAAAGTGGGAAAAAAACACAACTAGATTGTAGTTTCTACAACAACAAAAATTCAATTCAAAATAGTTTCCATGACAAAAAGAAATCGATGAGTTACACACACACATACACACAGAGAGAATATAACAAACCCTTATATCATATACATGTTGATTACGTAATATCTGTATACATATATGTATATATCTATATTTACTAAATATTTGATTATGGTAAAATAAGTTAATGAATTATGATGTATTTTGTGAAATTTCATCAATCCATGGTACAACACAAATTGTTGTATTAGCATGATGTACAACATAATCACTAACACTACCCATAATGGTACGTTTTATAGCACCTAATCCACGACTACCAATAATAATTAAACATGCATTGATTTGTTCCGCTTTTTTTATAATTGATTCACCAATATGATTGACTGATTCATATAAAAATTGATAAGTTAAATTATGTGCTAAACAATCTGTACTATAATCTTGTTCTAATTCACGTACACGTTTTACATTGACTTCAACAATATTTGACCATTCATCACTTGGTATACTAATTGGATTTGATAATGATATAGTTGGTAATGAGACTGGTTCTACAGCATGATAAATTGTTATTGTATCATCTGGTCTTTGTAACCATTTTAAATAATATTGAAATGCTTTTTTTGAATGTTCAGAACCATCGATAGCAATTAAAACAGATCTTGAACCAATTATTGGAGGTTTTGAAAATCCTGATGGTCTTCTATTCATTATTATTATAAATGAATTGAATCACCAATGAATAGTTTTAGTTGAACTTCGTTTAAATTATAGTGAATTTATATAAATTAACAGTTGATATGCCCGCTTATATGACCTTAAATCAAACTAGAATTCTATTGGTTAAGAAATATATAGACAATTTTCATTGGTTAATTATTTTTCTATTCAATTATTGGTTCAAATGATCATGTAATTGAAATCAAATAAATATATTTATTTATTTATTTATTTATTGGGAAATCAATTATTTTTTCTTCCCTACTAATTGATATGAACAGAGAAACAAGAAGTCTTGACAAACTACAGGAACTATTTTTTTTTTGGGGGGGGGGGTGGACGTTATTTCATTTCATTCAAAGCTTGTAAAACATTAACATTTATTCTTATCCCTAATCTATTCTACATATCATAAGCTTTCGTTTGATGTATGATTTACTGACGTAGCCTTCTCTGTTCCAAAGTTATTGTAATGTAAATGTAATCTTTTGTACTCTATTTTTCTACTCTAATTCCCAGTTTTGGAAATAATTGTATTTTCCTAATTATTGTATGTTGTCGTCGAGTTAGTCATCTATTTATTCATGTATCTTTTTACACTGATCTGAAATCAGGAACCAGATCGGAATTGAGCATAAATTGAGTAATGTTCCAGTTGACTTGTCTTCTGTCACTTGTGTGCTAGTCAATCAATCAGGTGATATAATCGGTTTCTTCTCTCTACCCCACTTAGGACTCACACATACTAGCCTCAAAGTTAAGCCGGTCAGCCTACCGCGTCAAGGTCTTAATCTAGATTGGACAAGTGGGTAGACAGATCAAGGACGTAACACTCATCTATTAAGAAAAATTCATAAGAATAATAAAGTGATCAATGAAAAAGAACCACAATAATGATGATTATTGTTGTTGATAATTAATTACGTTAGACTTCAATGAAGAATGCTGATAAGAGGCTTATGCTCCTCCATGAGGGATAAGACGTAGGTAATTCCGCTTAGAGCCCCTCTGGAGATACTGACGGTTCCAAGCTCAGATAAAGGAGGAGGATTGGACATAGGGTAAGCGACCTCATCTATGTAATTCGCTAAAAAAACGCTAACCAGAAAAAATAATTCAGATCATTTAAACTGTGTTCTAAGAGTTGGAAGGTCTTTATTTAGAAGAGATATGATGTCTCATGACAACCAGATCAACCATTAATTTGGGCACATGGAATATTTGTACAATATGGGAGACTGGGAGAGCCATCCGAGTTGCTGCATAAATGAAAAGATACAACTTGGATGGGCTTGAAATCAGTGAAACACATTTGACGCAGACTGGATAACAAAGACTAGCTTCAGGAGGGCTGCTGTTATACTCCGGTCATGAATAAGAAAATGCTTCACATACACAAGGAGTTGCACTGTAAGTAAGTAAGTTTATTAACCATTGATCTATCAATCAGTCGAATTTCATAGGACTAATTTCAACATTAATGCTATCAGTTATATTTTATCATTTAAACTCTGCCCTGAAAGTTAGGTTTTCATTTAGAAGAGTTGTGACGTCTCATGATGAGACACCTCAGCAGTGGGCATCCAAGATTATTATTTGAAACTTTGGATGACATGGCTGAGTTGACAGCCATAGAACAGATATATTAAATCTTTGTTTTCTCATAGATCTTGAGTTTTATAATTATTTCATACTTTATATGCTAAGAATTCATCTTTTCTTATCTAATCTTTTCTAATATCACTGACATTGCTTCCTTTACTCTGATATTTATCGTGATAATTCCCAATTGCTTTGTCCATATAATGTAGTAACTTGAACCCATTCATACACATCTCTGATCCTTATATTGATCTAATTCTATCGATCAACTTCACACTAGCTGATCACTTATTTGATGTACAAGTCATGTTGATAGCTGTTCTAATCACAAGCTCAAAATTACAATATGACCACTGTGCTGAGTAATATGATATGATAGATGTTTAGAGCCCATCAAGTCAGGAAATCATAGATGGGCATATAGTTCTAAGTCATCTTAATCCCGTGCTTCCTGCCTTCGATCTGATGAAGCATTCTCACCTCTGCAATCACATCATTTAATCAGTACTATTTTCACAGAGAATTTTTTCAGCTTTATAGCATATTCTTATGAATTTACTTTAAGGATTACAACAATTACCATGTTCCTCTTTTGTGGTAAAAAGTATCTTACAGAACTAATTCAGTCAGGATTTAATAAGGTGAAATCTTGGTTTCTGTACATAATCAACGACAGTGGATAACGAAGGAAACTCAATGTTTCGTTGGAAAAAATATAAAGACAGTTCAGTGGAGAGAACTTTATTTTCAATGATATCAATTACAGAAGGTGCACTATATAGTGACCATAGTGATTTGATGCGTCTTAGGACAATACTTAGTATGGTAAAATATGGATCATTTAATTGACTCTTATCACGTAATCAAACTGGAATTATTTTTCGAAATCTGGACAGTCTAACAGCTGGGATCAAAAGGAAGTTGAAGCAAAAACGCTCGCACCATTGAGGCTTTTGAAATTCAGAAATATAAGCATGAACTCAACGCGCAATCTCTAATTCTTATTCAGCCTTAAAGAGTCCCTCCCAGTTTTTTTATTTGCTACTCAGTTGTCGCTAAGCTGTTTTAACTTTTAATAATAATTATTCATATCTGGACAATTATCTCTTGTACTTTGCAATTGTAAATGATTTACAACTTTTTCAACCTCCAGATTCATCATCACGAAACTTTCTTTGTGATGCTTGAAATCTTCGAACACTATGACATACTCTCATTTTCACCACATTCCAAAATATTTATCGAACCATCATAGATAAAATTGTAGAACTTTGGAAAATGATATTTAAAGAGACTAATCTTGAATTATACAGATTGTTGGTTATAAAATGGAGTGACTAATTCGGGAACATGTTGTAACATCTAACTAGATCGCTACAAACGCAGTTCCATCGTTATGATCAAATATGTGATCATTTGTAATCAACAATCAACGTGAATGTACCTTCCTATGTGTTCTGGTTAGTATAATATGTTTGAATGATCAATTGAAGTAAAATTCCACATGAATAAATATGTTAAAAAACAATCTAGCACGAATATGACAATAGACCTATCAGTCATCCGTGCTGTTATTGATCTGTGCTTCCGTTTTTCTAGTTGTATATAATTTCAAGTATCCTGTAATGGGACTGAAATTGTTCTTGTTTACACTATTCATTCTCAAACTTAACGTTCCAGTCTTCCTATTAATGAAATACTGAGAGTAAACTGTTGTCTTGTCTATCATTCCAGAACGTTCATAACGTACGTGCATATGGGGGAATCCAAATATTTCACAGTTACATTATACTACTATTGTACGGCCAGTGAGCGAGAATATACTACTACTAGACCAGGTACTCTAGTGATATGATATACACAGACTGGGACACGTTATACTGGATACACAAGTAACGACCGAAAACAGAGTACCATAATATAGAATAGGCGATACATTATTCAACACAACGACAAATCAATCTACGCCAAGTGAGTCCAGAGTAAAAATCAATAATTTGGAACAAATGGCACATCTAATAATGAGCGTCTATTAATGCACATTCAATTGCCAATCACATCACACATCGCTTACAGTTCTCCTAACATTACTCTATGCTCAAAAGATCGATAACTATCATAATAAATATACCAATAACAATAGCGTACTCTAAAATAGTATCGTCTATGTGTATTTTGCATGCATCTCTTAAACCACAAAATCGATAACTTTGTTGTAAATGTTTGGTGAGAAAGTGATTGACGAATCACGTATCTTCAAACACTATACCCTTAGTTGTATTGTGGATATTGCATTCTCCTTTTTCTTTACAACTTGACCGTTTTACAAATGTAAGAATCATCCTTCATCAATGTTCAATAAAAATGAAGTATTCAGTATTATCCCATTAATTTTGTCTATTAGCGTAATTTTTATTGATGATTTCATGAGCCATCTATGCACGACTTCTGTGAACATGACACTATAGTACATCATAAATTATTAGATGAGAAACGTAAATAACGTGAAAATTAGCACTTGAAATGAAATTTGTTACAACGCTCGTGTTTTACTTCGTCTAATGTTATAACGGTTGGGTTTCCACGTTTACACTTATAGGAAGTTAATTTACCTTAAACGAATATCTATACTAGATTCCCTCCCAGTACATTAACACAACTCAGATCAAGAACATGTGATTAGCTTGACCACAACGTAAATATATTTCCACACCACCAACAACCCGACAATCAATAAAGGACTAATAATAATAACTCATCTGACACACTTATCAGACTATCTATATGACCGACTAAGCAGACAACCAATCATCATCATTCTCGCCCACATAAAAATTCCCATCTAAAATCATCCTATAATATATATAATATTCATTCATTAAATGTATAAATATGTATCAGAAGGGGTTTTGTGGAGATTGTAGTAAATTCAATAGTTGAGATCATGAGTCAATTGAAGCTAGACCACCATGGGAAACCTGAAAGCACTGGACGGCCGTTTCGTCTTATTGTGGGACTCCTCGGAAGTGCGCATCCACGATCTCGCACCCCGGGATTCGAACCCAGGACCTGTCAGCTTCGCGCCAGGCGCTTAACCGACTAGACCACTGAGCCGGCATCCAGCGGTGTTAATGTCTAACTTCATCTAATCCACAAAATTGAGCGACACATCCACCATTGTCATCAGTGAGTTACTACCTTAAAACTGACCCGGTTGAACCCCACTGTTCACTGCTTCTCACTAGAACTCCAGGATATATCTCTTGAAGTCAGTCACTAGTGAGCATATGTTGATTAGTATCAGAAGGGGTTTTGTGGAGATTGTCATAGTTCTTCTTATATGTGTTATTCCCCTGAAATATTGATGTGGATCTTATAATTATGGTTAGAATAATATATTAGTAAACGACACTAGGTTCGAATCCCGCAATAAATATCAACCCTGTTATTTGAATTACATCCAGTTGGGTAAAAACGTGAATTCTGCATTCTACTATTAACTACATTGATTATTATAGAAATCATAGTTTGTAAAGTCACATGAATTTTGATTTGATTTATTAAAATAACTAACTACTAAATGTTCTGTTTATTTTTTATTTCTGATAAGATAAAATTGTACCAAATGTAGTCACATGAGAAAGAATTCAGAGAGAAAAAACAACAACTAGATGAGACTGAAATTTTATGGACGAGCCAATCACCACCCAGTGATCAATCAATTGTGATTACATCTCAGTCCTACAGGAGGTCGGTCGCGGCTCGGATAGCTCAGTGGTAACGTCTTTGACTGTGAAGCTGAGAGCACCGGTCCCCCAAGATTACAGGTACAACACCTTGCTGATGAGTACCAAGTAGCACGAAACTCGGATCGTGGCTTTCCTGTCGACTACCTTCAACAATCATCTAGAGTTTTGACATTATGGTTGATGTCAATTCGTGATGAAAACCTGAAATCTAATTCCTAAGCTTAATTTCTCACACAAGTTCATAACTCTCATTTAGTCCTGACTATTAAGTGAACACTCTCAATGTCAGTCTAACATCGCTCTCTCAAAAGTCGTCCATAAATGATAAGTCTCATCAAAATCTCAAATAGATTTTTGAAAAATTTATATAAAAATAAGAAACTATTCTATCTAGGCAAAAAATAGAATCATTAGTAATTGTATGGAATATAGGGTAATCGGGAATAAAAGGAATAATATAGTAATATATACAATGGATAACAATTCTTGTTACTGGTAGACATCAGCACATCAGGTAAAGAGGATTTCTTTACCATTTTGATTGTTCATTTATCTGGAATAAAAATAATCTCACACTAATGAAAGAAATGATCTAATTTTGATTGTTTAGAATTCAATAATTGTTTGTTTGTAGAGGTTCTTTTGATTTTTCCTTGATTTTTATCAACCTGTAGACAATTAAATAATCAGAAGGGATTTTGTGAAGATTTTTAGAAATTTCACGGATTGAAATCATGAGTCAACTGAAGCTAGACCACCATGGAAAACCTGGAAGCACCGTTGGATGCCGGCTCAGTAGTCTAGTTGGTTAAGCGCCTGGTGCGAGACTGATAGGTCCTGGGTTCGGATCTCGCGGGATGCGGGATCGTGAATGGGCACTGATGAGGAGTCCCATACTATGATGAAACGGCCGTTCAGTGCTTCCAGGTTTTTAACGGTGGTCTAGCTTCAATTGACTCGTGATTTCAATCAGTGAAATTAAATAATCAACAATAATAATGATATAAACATACGTCATACATTACATGTTGTTTATCAGGTAAATGTAAATTAAATATAGCGTGAATTAAAACTGTTTTAGAAATAACTAGAGAATTGTAGTACTGCAATATTGAAGATGAAAGTTTTTAATTGATCAGGATGAACTGTAGTCAGAGATTAAATAAGGAAAAAAGTCTGTCCACATATTTTTACTTCTGTCACCAAGCCCGTTGAACACGATCAACCTACTGACTTCTTCCTTGGATGAGAAATTCAAATTTCGGGATTCTGATCGCTATTACATGTAACACATCAAATACACAATTGGGCAATAAGGTATGAACTACATTGTTCGTAAGGGGACTAATGATAATATCAGGTCCCCCATAAACCGAACTAGGTAGCTGTTGAGTCTACCACCTATTAATTAAAAGTTGAGTATTCTAATTATCAAGTTACTGATCCATTAAGCATAAGACAGTCGGGTAGATAACCTGACTATCTATTTAGACTGAGACGTGTAGGTAGGTGCAGACTGCCTGGTTAGAGTTTGCGTGAATATGCTATTGCTGGTTGATATATCTCAAAATCGATGACAATGGTGTAAGTGGGCATATAGTTTTTGGTTGCCCTAGATCTCAACTTTCAAGATGGTACTATATTTCATACTTTATAAATTTATTCTTTCTTCTTAAATCATACTACGACTAGGCTTTCCTACTATCACTTTAAATGTTAGCACTACTATTCTGGGATACGACAACTCGAACCGATGAACATATGTGCTAAGTTCTATATAACTTATGGATAACTGGTTACTTCAAATGTGTGCGCTATATATTTTGTGGCTTATGCATTCAGTAATTCGTTAAAATATGACCATTTGTATTATAAATAGTCCGTGACTGACCTTCAATTACCTTAGTAACAGAAATAAACAATGAAAAAAAACCTCCTCCCTATTTTTTTATGTTGATATTTTTCAACGATATTCCGGTATATAGAAAAGTGAAATTATCTTTTCCAGTAATCTCAGAACTAATATATCAGCTTACTTGTGAAATAATTAGGTCCAATTTCCTAGTCTATTGATTAAAGTCAAAATTAAATAATGAACATGAACACTTACTTCAGAATGTGATGATTTGGAGTTTTCAAAATGAGCAAACACCTGGAAATGAAAAACAAAAATCTTGATCGTTATTTCATCAAGTTCAAAATATTGTGAATGTGTACCGAAAAAAATTGTACATTATGTCCCCGAAACCTGTGAGTAGTCAGTCAGTCAGTCAGCTACAACGTAGGACCAGGCACATATGTGCATCGGTCCAGGTTGCCACACCTCATTAGCACAGCAAGATGAACAGCGGATTCATAGGAGTGGTTAGGTCAAAGGTTGCAATAAGGATATAGTATAGGAAGAAAGAATTAGTTCGTAGAAAGATATGAAGTGATTTTAATCTCTTAGTTTAAGGGAAGACAGGGAGTGTATACACCTACGCCATTGTGATCGATTCTGAGCCATGTCACCAAGAGTCTCCAACCATTGGTTACGATTGTCACACGGACCCCAACCAAGTAGTCTGCATCTACCAACATGGCTCAGACTAGAAGTTAGTGACTTCAGGTACTGATGCCACGTTTTGGTTTGGCCGCCCCTAACTTTCTTTCAACCATCCCCTACACCGGTTAGCATTGCACGTCGTGGTAATCGGTGTTCAGGCATACGTAACACGTGGCCCAACCATCTAAGTCGATGAAGATTCATAACCTCATCAACTGATGTGCCATCATTCCCTAATACCCTGCGTCGAACCTCACTATTACTTACCCGGTGATCCCAGCAGATGCCAGCAATATTTCTAAGGCATCTGTGGTCAAATACTAGTAGCTTACGGGTGTCTTCTACTCTTAAGGGCCATGTTTCGCTGCCGTAAATTAAAACAGAACGAACTGCCGCGCAGTATACTCGTCGCTTAACTGATAGACGGATATCTCGCCTTCCCCATAGGTGACGTAAGTTGGCAAAAGCCAAACGAGCTTTTCGAATCCGTGCTGAGATTTCGTCAGACACCAACCCATTAGGGATGATCAGACTTCCAAGATAAGTGAAGTTGTCAACGCGTTCGACTACTTCACTCCCTATCCTTAGTTCAGGTGTTGACGCAGACCAGTCCTGAAGCAACAACTTGCATTTCGAGGGAGAGAAGCGCATTCCAAACATTCTGGAATTGTTGCTTAGTGCTACCAAAAGACTCTGCATTTTGCCAGCGTCTTCACCAAACAGGACTATATCATCCGCGTATTCTAAGTCGATAAGTGGACCTCCTGGAAGGAGATCAATACCCGAGAATTCAGTCGACGAGAGTGTTATTTCCATCAATAGGTCTATGATGAAGTTAAACAAAAATGGAGAAAGTGGACAGCCTTGACGGACACCACTTGAGGTTGCAAAAGTAGATGACAGTTCGCCATAAGCTCTGACTCGACTAGTAGTGTTCGAGTAAAGAGCCTTCACAAGGTTTATGTACTTCTGAGGTACGCCTTTCAATGACAGACACTGCCACAGAATCTCGCGGTCTACGGAGTCAAGTGTTACTTTCAAGTCAAGAAAGACCACCATTGTCGGACGCAGATAAGTATGCCTGTGTTCTAGAACCTGACGAATGGTGAATATGTGGTCGATGCAGCCACGACCAGGTCTGAAGCCAGCTTGAGTCTCTCGTGTTTGTAGTTCACGAGTCTTAGTTAGGCGTTTGATAATTATCGAGGCCAGTATTTTAGATACTATGTTTGTTAAACTAATCCCTCTATGGTTGTCACAGGATGATTTTGACCCTTTCTTATATATTGGGACGATAAGTGATTGCGACCAGTCAGATGGGATAAAGTCTAATTCCCAGATCTTAGCTAAAATATTAGTCAACCTAATCGCTAAAATTGGACCACCATCCTTAAAGACCTCTGGAGCCAATCCATCTGGACCAGCTGCCCTTCCTCGTTTCAGATTAACTATAGCCTTTTGAACATCAGAAAGAGTTGGGGGACCTACTTCAATGTTCCATTCACATTGTCTGGGAATGGAGGGTAGTTGTAGAGTAGCTGAAGGCCAGCTGAACTGTTCTCTAAAATGTTCCGCCCATCGTTCTAAACGTCTGGACTGGGAGCAGATGAGAGTATCATTTTTTCCGAAATAATCTCACTTACACTTGACTTATTAATTCCAGTTTCTTTTATTAGTCTGTAAAGCTGTCTTGTGTTCCCTATAGTCGCCGCCTTTTCCATCTCTTTTGCTTTCGTTGCCCACCACTGCTCACGGTCGTTCCTTAAACTTTTTCTTAATCTAGATCTGATTTGTTTTCGCTGTTCATCATGTTCAGAACCTGATGGGATCAGTTTGCGAGAATCCATCAGTGTGACAGACCTTGAAGAAATCCACTGGTTCCTTGCAACTCTGTGGTTTAAGTCACTAATAGATGTCACTGCTGTTTCCACAGCTGATTGTATGCCCTTCCAAGCAACATCTGGGTCAGCCTCGTCATCACAACTACCTAATCGTGACCTCAGTTGTTCCTGGAACCTACTTTTGGTTTTCTCGTTACTCAACTCAGTTCTAACGGGTCTTTTTAATGTGGCTTTTTTGCGTCCAGTGAGGCGCAAGCAGATGCGTGCCCGTATTAGGGCATGGTCGGAGTCCAAGCAGGTACCCCAGAATGAGCGACAATCTTCTACCGACCCTCTCCAACGATGACTGATGGCAATATGGTCTATTTGAGTCCATCGTTGGTTTGGTGTAGGGGGTCGCCATGTTAGACGATGTCTCTCCTTATGCTTAAAATTTGTGTTTGCTAAAAATAAACGATTGCCTGAGCACAGCTGCAGCAGACGATCACCATTATCTGTTCGCTGTGTCGGAATGCTAAAATATCCACCTAAATGCCTTTCTGTTTGGTTTAAGCTACCTATCTGAGCATTAAAGTCACCCCCTACGAGTACTATGTCTGAGCGTTTAGCTTTCTGTAAAATTCATCTTTCACTTCATCTAAGCTGCAGTCAGTGGGAGCGTAGGCAGAAACGACAAAAAGGCAACGACGTGTGTCCCTATCCTTCCGAGTTCTTACGTAGCCGTTCAGCCGAACAGCACATAGACGACTGTTGACGGGGATCCACTCTAGCAGTGCTTGTTCCGCCCTCATGCTTAGTGCTATGCCTACACCTGCCAGTCCACGAGAACTGGCCATCGGGTCACCAGATGCACGAAGGGTGTATCTCGTTGGCTCTCCGTTTTGCCGAGGTGAGGTCAAGTGAATGACCACACTGGAATCCTGTATACGTGTTTCGGAGACACAGCACACGTCAATGGTAAGAGACTCTAGGGTTTTAGCCAAGGAAGCCTGCTGATCGATTTGACATAGGGTCCGTACGTTGAAGGCTCCAATGTGTAGTTTGGAGCGAGGTTTCAGTAGACCTGGGACAGAGTTTTGAGCACTAGAATCGTTGGCTATGGTGACACTTGAGGTGGAAGCCGAGAGAGGAAATTTAAAGTTGAAAGTCGATGAAGGAGGAATAATAGGAATTGAAGAGGGAGGTTGATTATGAATACAGTGGTCTTGAGTGCTGTTAGAGGTATGAGGGCGGTTATCACTTCCCGGTTGCCCACACCGTGGAAGGGTTGTTCTGGAGGTACTTGAAAGGGAAATTGGATTAAAGGTGGTCTTAGTGACCTGAGAGCGTGACCGCTGGATATGTGTGGATCCAAGCGATGTCTAAATAGACTCTAAACTAGTACAGTTCAATCGAAGTCGAAATGTTTGTTTATGGAAAGTGTAAACATAATGAAGTTTCTTTCTCGTAAATAGATAAAAACTGGTTATAAATTATGTAAAACACACACACATGCACAAATAAACATACGAACATAACTTGCCTTTCTAGTAGCAGTGGATATAGCTGAGTCGTTTAAATCTTCACGACTAACCCATCGACCGGAATTTAAACTTGGCGGCCAATCACAAGTAGTAGTAGTATTAGAATTGTTTAAACACTCAGAAGGAATTGTTTGTTGTTGTTGTTCAACTTTCAATTCGAATACAATATACGTCATGTGTATATGGGAGAAAATATGTAGAACCTGAATGGGGAAGAGTTATCACAGTAAATGTAGGTAAATATAAACATAGAAACAAGGAAATTATTAGTTTAGATAAGATTTTATCGAAATATTCCACGTGACATTTATATATGACGAAAAAATAGAATAGATTAGTGGAAGTTATATGGATTCAAATTAAACCCATGAAAAGTGAAGAGAGATTAATTAGCTGGAAGACTCTCCCTAAAGTTGTATATTAATGAACAAAAACAATGGAATAAGAACTTTTGTCTAAATTTGAACGAATAGTTTCACAATATTTGGGCACCCAATTAATGTGAGTCATTAAAGAGGAAGAATGTATTTGTAAAGTCTCAGCGATTTACTTCAAATGTTTTTGCTGAGATTTTACAAATACATTCTTCCTCTTTAATGAAAAACAATGGAAATGTAGTAATTCGCATTGATTATAAAGATATCTATCTTTCAATTACCTTTGATTATATCAGGAAAGGTTTGAAGTGGTTTTGCTTAACTTATTAATAACGAATATAGACATGTTGTCCAACTGTTGTCTTCAGTCAACATAGTATGATGATAACTTAGATATGACGAAGACGACAATGCTTGATGAAAATCCAGCCCCGAATACGGTCGATGGTGGAAAGAGTCTACTCTCTCCTTCAAACGCTTACATATGACTACGCGTATATAGCCACTGTCAGTCTATTTACCCATGTTTGACCTTCTATTTCCAATGTTTAACTATTGATAAGACATTTGTTATTGTATTTTATTATTCTTACTACTATCAGTACACCTGTCTTCCTACTACTATTAACTTGTACTTTTATCAATTATGTACGGTGATGTAATCTATTTGAGGGTAATTATTGGCTTAAATTGCCTTGATTGGTTTAAGATTTTCGTATATTAGAATAAAGCCTGATAACGATCTTAGCTGAAAACAATATTGTTCGCTTGCATGTGTTGTACAAATATATTGTAATCTTTTAATGATCAATTCAATTAATATATGTTTATGGTTGATGTACCCTTATTTAAGTGGTACTATAATGAGACGAACTAACAAATTCTACTAGATATCTACAAATGATCATTCCAGTAATCAAACACATTTGTTACCTCAGGTACTTCGACTTTATAGATTATTTATTGAAACTATATTAAAGAAAAAAAAGCAAAACTCTACCGTAGTAGTAGTAGTAAATGGAACTGGATTCGAACCTGTAACCCAATAGATTTTGAAGTTTAATTTCCAATTCTAAAACAACTTCACGGTACATCTGTATTAGAATTAAATTTAACATTTTAAAGTCTAATGTTATTTTGTCCTAAAGACAAAACAGCTCTCTGTTTGTTCGAAGTTATTTTTAAACATCAATACACAGTTAATACACACCTAATTTTAAAAGAAGTGATTGAAAACATTTTCTCACTTCTAAAAGTTCATTTCCCAACCGTTGTTGCTACCTTGACGTGGAAGTCGGGTTTGCCTATCGTGATGAAGCAACCGAGCTATAGTAATAGTGAGGTTAGATGCAGGGTATTAGGGAATGATGGCAGATCAGTTGATGAGGTTGTGAATCTTTATTGACTGAGATGGTTGGGGCACGTGTTACGTATACCTGAACACCGATTACCATGACGTGCAATGCTGAATAGTGTTGGGAATAGTTGGAAAAAAAGTCGGGGGTGGCGAAAATAAAACGTGGCATCAGTACCTGAAGTCACTAACTTCTAGTCTGAGCCATATTGGTAGATGCAGACTACTTGATTGGGGTCCGTGTGACAATCGTAACCAATGGTTGGAGACTCTTGGTGACATGGCTCAGAATCGATCACAATGGCGTAGGTGTATACACTCTCTGCCTTCCCTTAAACCAAGAGATTAAAATCATTTCATATCTTTCTTCCTGTACTATATCCTTATATGCAATCTTTCTTTTATATATTACTACCATTGACTTAACCACTCCTATGAATCCGGTGTTCATTTTGTTGTGCTAATGCGGTATGGCAACTTGGACCGATGCATATATGTGCCTGGTCCTACGTTGTAACTGACTGAAAAGTTCATTTACTGGGAATTTACATTTCTCCATTATTTTTACAATCTAAATCTGATCACCTAGTAAAAATAACTTAAATTAAGATCTATTACGAACTATGTCAATAAGTAGGCTGATGATTCACCGCTCTATACAACAGCAGTTATAACTAAATTTAAGGGAACTTTTTTAAATCTTTAGATGAAGAAACGCTTTTAGAAAATAAAATGAAATGGTTAATATAATGATAGGTTGAATTACGAGGAAATGAGTTGGAACTTGCGTCAAACGAGAAGATATGAAGAATATCAACAAAAAACTGCTGGTACTATGCATGAATTAAGTGGTTGAAAGTAATCGGCAGGATACGTTAATACTAGGTATAGTGTTCATTGAAACTCAAGTTTTAGAATTATGATGAAATGAATATAATTTCAAACAGGAGAAACGATTGTCTACTATCAATCTGTTTTAAACAACAAGGGATCTAACACGAAAAAATGTATCAGTTCAAGTGATCACATTTTCATGATTATGACACCAATTCCAACAACGTAGTCAGTGCATACACCAACATACTTCAGAGTAACAGTTGACTACTTCATGAATTCATATCGTTATATAGTTTGACCACCTCGAGCTTTCTTCCAACCTATTCTTACATCAACCAACGCTATACATCGGAGGTAGGCAATGACTGAATGCATGTGTAATACTACGAAATTAAAACTCATGATTTCTTAATCACCGTTATATCTTATATTTTATTGTGATTACTATATCTGCAAAAAGCTATAAAAAATATCATACCTCTCCAATAGGTTTCACATTTAATTCATTAATTGAAGTTATATTCAGTGAGGAATTCAACGCATTTGTAATTCGATCAATAACTAAAGGAATAAATGATTGTTGAATTTCACTCGTCAATTTGTCATCTTCAATAGTGTAACTTGGAAATTCCCATAAACCAGCCAAAAGACCTGAGAATTCATGCATAAGAATGTTTATTTGTTTGAGATTTCTCTTGTTAATATAAGTACACATATTAAATTTGTAAAAAAAAAACTATGAATCGAATTGTATCTCTAGAGACGATCTCTGTTTATGATGGTTAGAAGAGTTCGATCCTGAAAATAATACACCTCAATTTGTGCACGGATGATTCCCGTCCCCGACGGTAACGCCATGATATTGTAGAGTAAACAAAACAAAACCTAGTCATAAAATGGTCGGGTACCACCCTGGCTCAAGCAGCTATCTCTTAGGCTTTATTGTCACTCCCTAAGGTCATGAAGGCTACCAGTCAGGGGTAACATATATTCACAGGTTTCCAAAATGTGATATAAGATAGCTTTACAGTCAAACCTACTACGTAAGTTGATGCCTTTATCAATTATTACAATTACTGATCAATCTGAAAAATTTACAACTATCCTAATCACTACATCAAAGTAGCAGCTTCAGAGTATATTCGACAAGGTAACAAGTAAATTATAAAAGCTTTTCTCCCATTGCAACAGTTATTAGTTATAAAGATATCGATTGTGGAATACAAGATGCTATATCCTAGCACAGACCAATACGCAACAAGGATGAGAACGTTAACCGGTTGGTTCAGTACTAACTAGACCCGAACAAAGAGCAAGAACACAAAACATGTGATCACTAGTCCAAAATCGTTATATATATCCTGGAAGTTACTATTCTTTATTATCATTATTATTATTTGAACACATAAATATTGGTACAACGGGGCACCAAATATATATGCGCCACACAAAACAATGGGAATGGGATGAGAAACAAAGAAGGTGAGGAGCGTATAAAAAAAGAAGAAAAAAGAACAATAACTGTGGTGTGTGCTGCTTATATTGGCCTAAGTAGTATATGGTGTCAGTCATGAACAGAAGGTCTGGCAGTAGAGAGACAAGAGGATCAAACAGTAAAGAATGGAAATATGATGCAATTTGTATAAAAATGCAAGAACAATGAATTCTGAGTCATTTTGAGACAACTGGTGGACATTTTGCAAATTAAGCATTTACCTTATGATTGTTAGATTTTATTAACAAGTTCTGTGATTTTGTGTGAATACATTCGATTGTCCCCACTGGTGTTCTTGTCCACTACATAACGACCACAGATTAGTGTAAGGTAGTGTAATAATAATAATAATAATAATAATAATAATAATAATAATAATAATAATAATAATAATAATAATAAAGAGGGAAACGGAAAGGTACAATCAGAATTCTTTCAGTTGAGGAAGAAACAACCATTTTTTTAATGAAGAAAATAAAAGGTTACAGCAGGATCGCCACTGGCTTCTATTCTGAACCTTATCCGATAACGTCTCTAACAACTGTGTTGCACCATCGCTAGGACCTCAGCCAGGGAGTCGTGAAGGACCAACACACGCCAGTCCTTTGCAGATTTCTTTCATACCACTGCGCCATGTCGTACACTGACCACCTCCCTGCTTTTTCCAACCAGTCCCAGCGTCGCAAAATAATGCACGACGTGGAATTCTCTGGGACGACATTCGTAGAACATGTCCAAGCCACCGAAGTCGGTGTTTCAAGATGGTGACACCGATTGACTTATCGTCTCTGCGCCCGAACACACGATACCGAACCTCTGTATTACTAACATGGTGTTGCCACTGGATGTCGGCAATCCTTCGGAGATAACGATGATCGAACACAGAGTCGTCTGACATCCTCGACTCGGAGAGGCCAGGTTTCACAAGCATAGAGCAGAACTGCTCTCACCGACGCGTTGTAGATCCGACCTTTCACAGACAGACTAACATCACGAAGGGACCAAAGATGGTCCAGATTGGCATAAGCCGCTCTGGCTTTCACTATAAGTGCATTGATCTCATCACTCACGCCACCAGCACCACTTATTCCCTTAGTCATCGTTCGGATGTAACACAAGACAATATTGATGAGTTTTAAAAAGGACACATTTTGTAATTGAGAAATTTAACCTCATCAAGTAAGCTATAAGTGACAGAAAATCATACAAATTCATGCAACTCTGCACAAGTCCCCACATCAGATCAAATATCAATATAAATACCAGAGTACAAGAAGTAGTCATCGTATCAATAATAGTAGAAAACATTAGGTGTAGACAGCATGATTCGAAAAGGAATAAAGAAATTGTGGGATACAAAGTATAAGTATTATAGGTAAAAGAGTGAGTGCATCTACGTCACTGAGATGGATTCTGATCCACGTTAACTAATTGCTACGAATGTCGCGCTGATAGCAACAAGGTGATTTGTACATGCCTGCCTGCCTACCTACCTAACTACACAGGTCAGTTCAACAGTCAGTGACTTGATAAATTTACGTCGCATTTTAGTTTGAGAGCGCCTAACTCACTTCCAACCTCTTACAACAGCAAACACTAACAATAGACTAAGGAATTATATACCAACATACTACAAGAAAGAATTACATGAGGAATATAGGGAGAGAAAAAAATTGAATCATTTAACAAATACATACCTGTTTTAGGTCGTTGTAAAAGTAGGTAGTAATTTTTTAGTGCTTCATTCTCTTTTCTCGAAGTATGTGTGATTAGAATAACTGTATTTTGTTTACGAGGTTCACGTTTGCTAAGTTTCACAGGATAATTCATTACTCCAAGACTATATAAGAATAATGATAAATAAATCAAAACACATGTAAACGAACAAAAATATTTTCAATTCGACCAGTTAGGAAAATGAACCCTTCAAGAAAGTCAACGATAAACTAGATCTATGCAGACATTAGATAGACAAAACACTCATCATAGGTTACAATATCAGTCAGTCAGTCAGTCAATAACAACGTAGAACTTCGTACGTACGTACATCAGTTCGAGTTGCCACACCACATTAGCACAGAGATGCACTTGTCGATTCAAATCCCGTAGTGATAGAGGTAATAAGAGTATAAGCAGTAATCGGGAAGATTAGGGTTTGGAGATGTTATTTAAAGATTACAATTCAGTGAAATAAATTTGGAAAGAGGAAAAAAGGGACATGAAGAATTCAGAAGATTAGAGTTTGGGAGAACACAAAGAGTGGATGCACCTGCGCCACTGCAAACGATTTTCAACCATGTCATTCAGGGTCTCTAACCATCGGTTGCTGTCATCTCGCGGTCCCCAACCAGGTAGTCTACACCTACTAACATGACTCAGTCCACTTGTCAGTGACTTCATGGACTTGTGCCATGTTTTGGTTTGGCCGCCCCTAGCTTTCTTCCAAACTACTCCTATACCACTGAACATAGCACGTCGAGGCAGTCGGTCGTTGGGCATACGTAACACGTGTCCCAGCCATCTCAACTGATCAAGTTTCACTACGTCATCAATTGATTTGCCATCCTTACCTAGTACCCGTTTCCTAACAACTGTGTTACTTACTCGATGGTCCCATGATATACGAGCAATGTTTCGAAGACACCTATGATCAAATACTAGTAACCGACGAATATCCTCTACTCTTACCGGCCATGTTTCACTGCCATAAAATGGGACGGAACGAACTGCTGCACAGTAAACACGTCCTTTGGTTGATAGACGGATATCTCGCCTACGCCATAAATGACGCAAGTTGGCAAAAGCTAGTCGAGCCTTCTGTATCCGTGCTGAGATTTCGTCACACACTAAACCACAAGGGCTGATGAGACTTCAAGATAAGTGAAGCGGTCGACACACTCAACTACTTCACTCCCTATCACTAGTTCGGGTGTCGACAAAAACAAATCCTAAATCAGTTTGACATGGTGTGTTCGGCAATCACTTTCACTTGAGAGGATGAGTATGAGAATACATTAAATTACCATGACATTTCATTTGGTAGACAGGATGACAGTTTGTTAGACAGAAGGGTGTATAGAGAGAGCGCTTTTCGGGTGTTGAGATACAGACTTCCGTAGCCAGATATCTACCCACTGCAAAAGTAATCTGGTTAGATACTTTACAAAAAGGATAAAAAAAGATCTGCCCAGATGAAGCCATAAGTAAGGACTTGAAGCTTTCAATAACACTGATGGAAATGGACTACTTACCATGTTTTTAGAACATATGTAAACAGGAAGAAAAACTGGAAATATAGACCGCTCGGAGATTTTAGTCTAACTACAGTTCAACGAGAATGTAGATAGTGACGTTTCGTACAGTAAATTAGTGAGCACAGTTAGGAAAATAACAACTAAACTTACGCTAGCATTTCCTAGTTAACCGGTGATGTTCACCCAAACATGGAACAATTTACATAGATTTGCTTCTTTGATATGCATCAACAAATTTATCTGCTCTTGAGATAGCTATACTAGACGTACTAACGAATGTGTGAACATTTCTTATAATGATTTGGAAAGGATCAAACAAGGACTTTACTTTATCACGTTTGGTCATGATCGTGTGGTGATCCAACAGATACCATCGTCATTCCCCAATGAATTTCGATCCCGTCTCCTATATATAGCTATAAAGATCTGAACCTATAACCCTAGTTCATATGGTCAAACGAAATTCGTGACACCATGTCCCTTCCTTGGTCAGATATGACTTCATAAAAGACCTAATTAACTTTTGTTATATCATGTATTTGTTTGTCATTTCCCGCCTCTTCCGGTCTATATCCTTCACTATCTAATTATTTAAACTTCATTAAGTAATTTCAATGTTTCGTCGTTTTTTTAAAGTTTGTTCGTCTAAGCTTGACCTACATTTTAGGTTGAATTAATGATTAGAACTTTTTTGTTTTATTATTCTTATCACTATTATTAGTACTCCTGACTTATTACTATCAATTTGTACCTTTCACTTATGACATACAGTTAAGAAATTGTAGCCATGGTCTCATTAATTCCCTTGATTGGTTTGGTGCTTTCATATATCCATATAAATATTGCCGTATAAGGAGGCTCCGTGAAAGAGACGATCTGACTAAAAAACAATGTTATTCGCCTCTATGTTATTCTACATGGATTATCAATCCTAATGAGCGGTCTATGCTCCTTCACAAGAGGTAACAGACGTAAGTAATATGGATTATCACCATTTATTTAAACACATAAACACTGATACAGTTGGCAACAAGATATATATGGCGCAACACAAATTATTGAATTTGTGTATGGTCTAAGCTACTATCTAGGTGCTCAAACAAAAGTAGGTGGTTTTCTTGGGGTGCTACTACTCCATATGTTTTCGACTCAGCGACTTAATACACATGACAATGATACAACGTTACAAGATTCGGTCTTATATTAGGCAGTGGCCAAGATAAGGTTCATATGACGTTTATTCCCTTGGGATTCTGTATCACACGTGCACCATAGATTTGGAATCGGGGTTTTCCAACTTTTCTAGGAGGGTCGTCCGTACCCAGCAATCTGGTTGAAGAGCTGAATGTTCGCTTATGTTTCCTCCAATTTCGGAATCAACACTAGTTTCTCTCGAAGAGAATGAGAAGGAATTTACTGACAATGGATATATACGCGTAGTCATATGATAGATAGCATTTAAAGGGAAAAGTTGACTATTTCGAAGGAAGGATGAGAGGATGGACTAATTGTTTCCGCACGCAAAGTTCAGGCTTGAGTTCATGGATTGCCAATGACTCAGCAGTGCATAAAATATTGATTCGGCCCCACTTCGATCCAATTCCTTTGACTCTGTAGATTACTTTAAAAGAAGAGTCCTTTGGAGCGATGTGTCCACAGTTAATATTAAATGCTCCTGTATCGCACTAGTAATTGTTCTGCATTCTCCTTTTAAGAGCCAAGCCGGATAGTGTTCCGAGATGCGTTTGGACAGCGATCGCTTTGTGCGGCCTATGTAACGTGCCCCACATGAGCAAGTAAATTTGTAGATAAACATTGATGTGGCCCAAAGCGGAAGTTTATCCTTAACACATCCCCGAATGGTAGGTCGGCTGGAGAAAACAATTCGGAGCTTAGCTGCGTAGAATGTTTTATTCAACGATTTTGAAATCCGTTTATTTAAGATTTCAGCAGCCGTGTCTCCTTTAAATTCCATATTCATAAATAGAGTTTTCTTCTCTACTGTCGATGCTTTGTCAGGAAGTCTAGGTGCCAAGTTTCCATCGATGAATCTCAGTGGATAATCACTTTTGATGAGGGTCTGTCGAAGATGAAATAATTCCCCATCTATTGTGTCATTGGAATAAATTCGTTTGGTCCTTGAGGATAAAGAATGAATTAAGTTCCTTTCTCTACTTAATGGTACCCAACTATGGAAGTTCGTGTATTGTCCATTCCAAGTGGGTTTTCTATATATCGATCTCTGTAAAAAAACCGTCAGGCATTCTTTTTAAACGGACATCAAGAAAATGAAATTCATCATTACAAATGTTCGTCACACAGAAACTATTGGTTTTCTACGTGACTATATTGAAAACAATAATCTTGATATGTGTATCCCAAAACATTATCTTAAAGAACTAATTCTACGATGTACACTCAACGTGCAATTTAAATTTAACGATGATTTCTATAGACAAACAGATGAAGTTGAAATGGGTTCTCCCTTGGCTGATTGTTTCATGGCCAATCTGGAAAATTCGGTACTTCGATCAATAATTGAGAGGTTTCATTTATATAAGAGATATATGGATGACACTTTCATTATTTGTAAAGAAGACATGGACCTCAATGATATTTTGAATACTTTCAATAACTGTCACCCATCAATTCAATTTACCTTAGAAGCAGAGGCAAACAATGAATTTCATTTTCTTGATGTCCGTTTAAAAAGAATGCCTGACGGTTTTTTTTACAGAGATCGATATATAGAAAACCCACTTGGAATGGACAATACACGAACTTTCATAGTTGGGTACCATTAAGTAGAGAAAGGAACTTAATTCATTCTTTATCCTCAAGGACCAAACGAATTTATTCCAATGACACAATAGATGGGGAATTATTTCATCTTCGACAGACCCTCATCAAAAGTGATTATCCACTGAGATTCATCGATGGAAACTTGGCACCTAGACTTCATGACAAAGCATCGACAGTAGAGAAGAAAACTCTATTTATGAATATGGAATTTAAAGGAGACACGGCTGCTGAAATCTTAAATAAACGGATTTCAAAATCGTTGAATAAAACATTCTACGCAGCTAAGCTCCGAATTGTTTTCTCCAGCCGACCTACCATTCGGGGATGTGTTAAGGATAAACTTCCGCTTTGGGCCACATCAATGTTTATCTACAAATTTACTTGCTCATGTGGGGCACGTTACATAGGCCGCACAAAGCGATCGCTGTCCAAACGCATCTCGGAACACTATCCGGCTTGGCTCTTAAAAGGAGAATGCAGAACAATTACTAGTGCGATACAGGAGCATTTAATATTAACTGTGGACACATCGCTCCAAAGGACTCTTCTTTTAAAGTAATCTACAGAGTCAAAAGAATTGGATCGAAGTGGGGCCGAATCAATATTTTATGCACTGCTGAGTCATTGGCAATCCATGAACTCAAGCCTGAACTTTGCGTGCAGAAACAATTTGTCCAACCCCTCATCCGTACTTGACCCTAGTTCTTTTGATGGGTATGTTTCTGGGTTTTTTCTTGTTTTTCTGCACTTCTATTTGATTATTATTGATTTTTTTTCAATTACTGTTTTGCATTTTTAACTCTAATCAGTTATTATTATGACGTTTTTGTTTGTCGCTTTTCTTCATATCTGTCAATCGGACTATTCTCTGACCCATAACTATATATACGAATGTACAGCTTAAGTAAATGATTTCGTCAAAAAGAACATTTTCTCGCTGAATTCGCTTTTCATATATATTTAGTAGACTAGATGGGATTCTATAGGGAAACGACGAAGATGTACGATAGATCAATCGCCTTGATTCAGTTTATCTACCAGAAGATCACTATCAACTGGGTGCGTTAAGATAGAGCTATACTTCGTCGCTGGTTAAATTACTTAGTGATTCGCCCTCTAATAACATCATGGGAATTTTGTAAAGATATTGATAGATTAATTAGCATTTACGCCACTCTACCATTTCTTAGTTAATTCCTATCACTTTATACATCATGTAAGTCTTCGACGAAACACTACATTATTATTTCTCACACTTCATGTTATCTATATTTATTCTGACTATTGATCATTTAGTTACAACTGACACACAAACTGAGTTAAAGAAGCACTACACACTAGACATTTCAACACTGACAACTTTATTCTATTCTGTCGATAATGAGATGGTGGAGAAGATTTATAACTCAGGTGGATGATTTTGATGGAGTTTTATTCTCTGAGCTGGATAGTTTGGTCGTGGAAATTTCATCGTTATTCTGAACGACATCATCAGCACAAACTTCAGGTAGAAATGAAGTGTTCGAATTTCTCCACACATAGTTCACAGCTGGTTCTGTAGACGTTGATCCTGATTGGTTACTGTTGATCCAATTTATCAAACAATCAGAAAAAATTATGGACAAATATAAGACCAAAAACCAAACCAATATGAGATATAACCAAAATAAAGAAATAAACAATGACAGGTTTAAGGTCAAGAAGTAAGTTATGCAAATCAAAGCAACAAACAGTAAATATATTACCTTTTTTGATAAACACTACTATTAATACACAAATGACAATCTTCAAGATCAGTTGAAATGTAATCACTTTTGCTTGCATTAGCCTATATAACAAAGCAAAAAGAATGGAAAAATTTTAACTTGAACGAAACAGGATAATATTGTCAACCTACCTGTTTATATGATTCACATAAACCAACTTTATTAAGTGGACATTTCATACAATCAGGGTTTTTCGGTGTACAACAAACTGCACCTAATTCCATTAAAGCTTGATTAAAATCTCCAGGTCGATTAGGATCGACTAGCTTAGTTGCCAAATTCCATAAATATTCCATAGAAGTAGGTAATTGTACAGGGGAACCAATTTGACGTAAACGTGTTAGAACACGAATTACATTTCCATCCAAAACAGGAGTACACTGAAGTGAAAATAATATAAAACACTTGTACATTGGTACTGTTATCGAATTCACTGCTTTTAAAAATAAGAAACGTTAGACTATTGGTTAAAGCAATTACCTATTAACTAATGAACAAATGTATTGGTGGATTCAGCACACCTGCGATAATCAGTAATTGAGGATGACCGGTGAAATAACTCAGGGTCAATTTCAGTAGAATAGATATCAGCCAGTCACAATGAAGAACCTGGTACTTATGTATATCGGTTCAAGTTATCATACACCGTTAGAACAGAAAAATGAAGTCGTCAGGTCAAATCCCAGAATAGTAGAGGTAGTAACAGTGTCAGTGGTAATAGGAAAGACTAGGCATCGAAGATACCACTCGAAAAAACTACGTAAAACAGAGAAATCAAAACGAAGAATAGTTATGAGGGATTTAGAATCTCAGAATTCGAGAGAAGACAAGAAAATGAGTGAAAGTGCTCCATTGCAAACGATTTCGAGAAGTGTCAATCAGTTTCTAAACATTGATTATGATAATCACCCGGACACCAACAAGGTAGTCTATACCTATCAACATGTCTAAGTCCAACTATCAGTGACTTCATAAACTGACACCATGCTTTGATTTGGTTGCTCCAAGCTTTTCTCCAACATACTTCCACCCCAAACAAAATCACATGTCGACTTAGGCAGTAGTTGGACATAAGTAACACATGTCCCAACCACTTTAGTTGATGATGATTTACTACCTCATCAATCGATTTGCCATCCTTATATGGTATCCTATTCCTATCCCAAGGATTACTTACTCCGTCGTCCCGAAATACACGAGCAATACGTCGAAGACACATATGATGAAATACTAGTAAATTACCAATATATTGCATTCTTAATGGCCAAGTTTCACACCCATCGTTTAGGACAGAATGAACTACTGAGCAGTAAACATCCTTTGGTTGGAAGATGGGTATCTTGCCTACAACACAAGTGACGCAAGTTTACAAAAGCCAATCGAGCCTTCTGAATCCGAGCCGAAATTTCGTCAAACACCAAACCATCAGGACTGATGAGACTTCCAAGATAAGTGAAACGGTTGACACACTAAACTACTTCGATCTCTACCATTAACTCAGGTGCTGACTCTAGCCAATCCTGAAGTGATATTTCATATTTGGAGGGAGAGAATCTCATGCCAAACATGCTTGGATTGTTGCTTAAGGTAGTCAGAAAACCATATTTATCGGCGTCTTCACCACACAAAACTATATCATCTGCGTCTACCAAGACAACAAGTGAATCTTGTGATAGAAAATCAACCCCTCAGAAGTCAGACAATGAGAATGTTACTTTTAAAAGCTTGTCTGAGACAAAGTCAAATGAAAATGGGGAGAGTGGACAACCCTGATTAACACCACTTGCAGTAAGCAATTCCGATGACAGTCCCCCATGAGTTTGACTCGACCAAAAGTGTTTGAGTAGAGAGCCTGTACAATGTTAGTGTACCTCTTTGGTACGTCTTTCAACAATAGACACTGACATAGAACCTCGTGATCAACAGGTCAAAGAATACAAATATAATTGTACGCCGAAAACTGTGTTCCAGAACCTGATGAAGAGTGAATATACGACCTATGTATCCATATCCACGTCTAGAACCAAACTGGTTCTCTTGGGTTCGATCTTTATGAGCTCAAGTTAAGCATCTGAGTATTATTGAAGCTAATATTTTAGATACTATATTAGCCAAATTGATCCTTTTGTGATTGTCACATGTAGAATTTTGTCCTTTTCTATAAACTGGGACGATCTGCGATCGAGATCAGTTTGATGAGGTTGCATCCAGATCGCGAATTCTGGATAAGATCTCAGTTAATTTAATTGGTGAAACTGAATCACTATACATAAATACTTACCGAGTTGGCCTATCAGGCCCTGACGCGCTCCTCCGCTTTATTTTATCTATAGCCTTTTAACCTTACAAATAGTTGTCGATTTGCCATTCAGTTTGCATTGACAATTACCTTTTCACACTCTCGAGTCAACGCTTAGTGATTTCTAGACAACTTGGAATAAAACTTCGCAAAGGCAAACACCAACAACCAAAACAGTTGAATAAAAAACCAAGACGGATCTTGAATCACTAAGTTCGAAAAATGCAATGACAATAGAGAGTAAAGATAAAAAAGCCTCTATGAGAACGATACCTCAATAACAGTCGGAGGACTTACATAAGTTTACCATTCAGCCTGCTTGGAGATGGTGGGTAATTGAAGTGTGGCTGAAGGTTAGTTTAACTGTTCCCTTAAGTGTTCCGATCATCTGTTGTCTTTTGGACTGAAAGTGAATAATGGCCACATCTTTTTCCGAGATAGTTTCACTAACAGGGGGACTTTTTATACTCGTTCCTTTAATAAGTCTGAATATTCGTCAATCATTACCTATCTCTGTTGCTTTCCTCACTTCTTCTGCTTTTTTTACCCAGTACCCAGTATGATCATTGAGTAAGCTTGTTATTAACTTCATTTAAGCTGCCTCCACTCTTCAGAATCCGCCAGGACAAGTTTCCAAACACCTATCAGTTCGGTAGACGCTAAAAAACCACTAATGGCTCCTAACCTTTTGGTTTTAGTTGGTGACAGATGTTACCGTTGTTTTAATATCGTGTCAAGCTACCTCGGGAATGTCACTTAAATGATTGACTAACTGTTGCTCTATTTGTTCCTGAAATACATTTTTGACTTTTTCACACCTAGTTAGATGTTGACAAGTACGTGCTTGTAATTAAGCATGTGCTCCAAAATAAGCGACAGTGTTCTTTAGCGCCTCTCCGATGACGTCTGGTGGCAATATGGGTCTATCGTTATTGGTGGTCTGAGTGACCTGGGAGCATGACCGCAGAACCCAAGAGACAACTGCCTGAGGTCGGTTGCGCACAGCCTTTTTATGAGATTTTGACGTGTTAGCTCCAAACTTTAAAAGGCCTTAAGGCCGGAGATGCAAATCTGTGGGGCTAGATGAGATGTGGCATTTTAAGGGTAAACCTTTTCAAAGTCGTCCCTTGTGTGGCGAAAAAGCAGAATCTGTGAAGAGGATGGTTGTCCGAGGAAAACACTACTGTTGTCACACCCTTCTAAAACTAGAGGTACGAATTAGCCATCGGGCCTTAAGTTACTACTTTTAGCCTTACCGTCCTCCAACCGACATGACTGGGGTGGTAGGACCTAAAGGGACATGTGTTTCAGCCAACACAGCTCAGTTGGGTCACCATGAAAGGTGGGTTCAACCATCACATCAAGGTAGCAGTTATGGTCGGGCTTTTACCTTAACGACATCAACGCCAGGAACTTGATCAGGATCGCCTTCATATTTAAATCTTTCTCCCTATCTCGAACAGATGTATTTACCCTTTGTCTTAAAATGTCTATACTTTTTATCCCGCAAATTTGTTTTTCCTTCTCAATGCGTGTTGTTAGTGACTAATGTCTGTTGTTATTAGTGATACTGTAACTACTGTAATTACGGTATTTGTCATGATGATTTGTAGCGTGAATTTGAACCGATGCTACTTTGCTAACCGCTTGAATGGACTGTAAGTTTGAACCCTATTCACTTTGCTTTCGGAAGCGACGTAGTATACTTAGTCCTTACATGTAAAAGGTGTAGTCCTAAATTGAGTAAGTAAACATTTACTTGATATATGTTACATTATCACATTCCAATTCACTAGTTATAACAAAAATGGTACTAATATAATAGTAACAACGTTGGACTTAATTCAGTGTGTAAAACATTACCTGATTAAACGCAATACTTGCAATTGCTCCAGCTGTATAACGTCCAACACCAGGTATCGAATGCTTTAAAACCTCGGCAGATTGAGGGAAAATACTATTAAATTCATTGACAATCTACAAAATGAGTCCGATTTTAAAAAATTAACCTTTTTCGCTCCTTTATGTAGTAGGCGAGCTCTGGAATAATAACCTAATCCAGACCATAGAGAATTGACATCCTACAATACAATTATAGCTCTAGGTAGGTGACCAATTAATATACATACGTCTAACGAAGCCGAGGCTAGATGATCAACACTAGGCCATTTCTGTAATGATAGATATATGATTTAAAAAACGGATCAAACTATCAAACAAACTTTCATCCATCGATCATAATAATCAATAACTGTTTTTACTTGAGTCTGTTGAAGCATAACTTCCGATACCCAGACTGAACACATACAAAAAATATGAAACAAAAAATCTAGAGAATGATTAAACATACCAGCGTAACCGCGTAAATTGGGATCCGGATTCAAGGCCTATATAATAAAATAGTTTGAAATATAGATAACAATTAAAATTCATACCATTCGACGCCACGGCAAATCACGTTTGGATCTATCATACCAAAGTAGAAGAGATTCACGTAATTTCTCGATTTGATTTGATGTGAACGAATGAATAGAACTAGAGAATTATTTAATTTAAAATTATGAACAGTTAAACATACCACATAATCGGGCTTGAACGTTGTAAGAATTGGAATACCTATTAGCTGGGGGGGAAACGTATGAACAAAATAAATTACTGGAGAATTCGGTTTAGTAAATATTTATCAACTTGATAAGATATAAACTGTAAAATTAGAATTAGGTTCCAGATAAAATTTACTTACAAATCTAACATCAAATTGCAACAATTATAATATACGAATCAGACTAACAATTGTCCTAGCTGTATTCATGATGTGTTTGACATTGTAGAGTAATGACTGACAACTGCTGGATTCCAGAGATTTCGATTCACTCTAATTACTTCGCTCTGAGAAAATCAGTAATGTTATTAGCATTATCAGTATGAGCCCATAAACCTGCAAATTGTTGGATTTAATCAATGCGCTTGTAAACTACATGATATTAATTTCTCAAACTTACGAGAAACACAAACCTAGACACTTGAAATGATGATCGAAAATTAGCAATACTAAAACCATTGACCAGTAAATGTTTTATGAGGCTAAAGATGCTTTATATTCAAAGTTGTACAGTGAAGTAATATCCTTCGTGGAAATATTAGTTATCATTGTTTCTATTTAACATTATCATTGATCACAGCCAAGTAGCAGACAGTTATCGGAGTATTTGAACTTTTCAATAAGCTTCAGAAAAAGCCAATGATGGCTAATAATGCTTCGACTGATAATTTTTAGTCGTTTCTCGATTTAATCTTGCACTAGTCAGTACAGCACGTTGATATAAGTGGTAGCTGGGGGTAACTTACACATATCCTAACCATTTCAATTGGTAGAAGTCTGAAATCTCACCAACCGTTTTTGTACTCAACATGTATATACTTTCACTTAGTCTAGCCGTATATATTTCATACAAACCACTCCCGAAACGTTTTTGGTATAAGATATATTTAATAGCTTTATACTACTATGAAAAAGTGTGTTTACAGACGAGACGTATTAGATTCAAAAATTATTTGATACTCCTTAGTTCCAATTACCTCTGCCACAAGTTTATAAACGTCACAAACCAACTACAGTAACTTCTTATGAAAAGTCTATATCGTAATTCCATAAGTCGTCTCAACTTTTAAAAAACTTTTTTGGCCAAGTTTAATATTTTTAAACTGTTATATTCTTAACCAACCACCATGTTAACCTGACCTGTATATGAGTTGCACTATACCGCTATGTATTTTAAATTTAACAATAATTGGAATCGCCTTTAACGTTTTTCACTAAACCTATCAAGCCGTCATTGCTATATGTATTTGGGTTTATGAATCGGTGTATCATATTATTTGCATAAAAATATGAAGATAGTTTACATAATAAAGCCACCGAATTTAGTTACTATCATACTGTACTAGTATAATAACTAAACTATCAGGTAGTTGTTGGTCACACAACTAATTTACCTAGTACATTATGCTCAACCTAATATCATTATTAATTAACAATTGGTTTAACAATTCACAGCTACTGCTCAGAAGACAATTATGGTTGGACAGAACCAAACACACTTATTAGACACTTGTGTGTGAGCCACACGCTTCGGCTGCGCTCCAGGGGTATCGTCCACCGATGATGGTTGCGAGCACTTGAAGGTCAAACTGTCGCAAGATGATTGGTGAATCAATCAACAATTCGTGAATTTTTTCATAAGCGGTGAAATCAAGACATTGTTAGATTTGAATTGAGTTCAGCCGCATCATGTCTGATAACGTCCATTCTTCGAGTAACGAAGACGATTCCATCTTGATGATGCATGATGTAGGACGAATCTTCAATGTTATTATGTTATCTCGAAGATTTACAAGTTGGGACAATTTTGAGACCTGTGTAGTGACTCACATTTATCACGAGAACCCGACTGGTTTAATAAAAACAATTATTATAACCAACTGTACCAGTGTTTGTTTTAACGTGCTTTTGTTTGACTGTGCTAATGACAGCAATTTTGTGCTTCCATTCATATAGACACACTTTGATTGTAACTTCGCGCGAATTCGGTTGCGTTCTGTAACCAAGCTTCTATCCTGGCACGATCTCGGTATCCTTTCGATGCCACGAGATCGCCAGCGAATATATCTCGACTTGGTCCATTACTTGCCTTCTGGTATTTGGCTTCTCGGGGATTTTATGGATTTATTTGGTTACGTTCGACCTTCACCTTCTGATTAACTTGGCACGTGTTTCTTGGTAGCGGTGTTCATAGTTAATCTCAACTCGACACCACGCTACACCTGGTAATATGACTTCTGTGGTTAATATTTATTTTTTTAGTATACGAATACTAAGTATGTTATGTCAGTATGCAAAAAACAGTGATGGTCCAACTCTAAAGTACTTTTTCGTGAGATATGTCTGTACATATGGACGCAAACGCAGTTCGGCAGAGTCAGATGCTTGCGTTCAGGATGTAGATGATGATAGTAATCATCATTCTTCTGAAGAGCGTACAACTTCTAACTCGCCAACACAACCTAGACAAAGGAGACGACGTCAGTCATCTACGTATGCCTTACTTCAAATGGATTTATCCTTCAGGTCGAAATATTGCCATTGTCAATCTGGATTTTCGGTCCGGGCAGTAAATGGTGAGCTGAAAGTCACCTCTATTAAAACCGTGCACAACCATTCTTGCACAGAAGGATATATTTCTGTCAATGCGTAGAGACGACAGTTGACGTCAAGTGAACGCTTATATTTAAGAACGTTTCTAACTCGTAGCTTACGGCATCTGGTTTATTGGACGTTCCATAAACAGCTTACCAAGGACGATATCGCCAAAATGCGTTAGCAGTTGTACCCAGGTTGTTGAAGTCACATTGTAATTAATTGAGTTTAGACACTAAAAATACCAATGACATTTTGCAGCTCGTTCAAGCAAACACTGAAGTAAAAGTACTCAATGAACATGGGAACATATCTATGATTTTGCCTCAGTCGCAGGGAGCTCGTAGCTTTTTACCACGCGTTCCCACAGGTAATATGTAATGACTGGACTTATCAGACCAACAACTTATTCTTATATCGTAACGGCAGGGAAAGTGTACTGTGCAGTCTTATGTGGTTGTGAGGCAGGGATGTTGTTTCGCGTTATTGTGTAATAATTACCAATTTGACACACACGCGATTAGTCATACAGACCATCAAATACTGCAACCTTGAACATGGTGTACTATACTACTAGTTCGAATTTCGACCTGTCACGACAGATAAGTATTGCCGTCATTAAAAAACTGATGCGTTATAAATGACAACGTTTATTAAAGTTTAAATCCAGCACAAATGATCCATTATTAAATAACTTCCAATTCTTAAGAATTGTTCCCGTTAGGTGTGTGAACACTTGTGAAGCCAGCTGGAAATAAGATAGACAGAAAATAGTTATTGCGGTATAAATGTTTACCAGAAACTAGTAGAAAAACAGGAACCGGTACTGAATTACAGATCGAGAGTGCATTTAGCACATCCTTTCTTTGGACAGTCAATTACGCTTATTTGCTTTATCTCTTGCGTTGCTTAGGAAAGCCTTGGTCGCAGCATACATGGCCTGTATTATTTGATTATTTGGACAGGTTGTATAAGTTATTGTCATTTACGCCATCAGCACGTAAGCTAGACAGGCCTTGGTTGATTTTCGAAGATCACCACATACGAACTCAAACAATCTGGTCACCTGAGATCAAGATATCTTGATTATCAAACCGTGCTTTTCAATTCTGTCTTGTAACCGCTTTATAATAGTGCTTATTTCTGCTATTAGGTATATTTGCAAGGACACAGATAGCCCAAACATTGGAACTATGTTAGCTTAGCCTCTGCTAAAGTTTTCACATATATATACCTCTTCCGCGTGACTATGATTTATTTCCTGTAATATAATGATTTGGTGGCTTATATATCTAACTGTAGAAGATGATATTAACATCTTGGTATGTGTTATAATCATCTATAGCATATACATTATACTCACAACCCTCAGGACAGCTAACATTTTCACTACTAAACTATTTCTGCCATAAAAATCGAACAAAGCAGTGAAAATCGGCCAAAATTGTGATACAGAAGGGAAAAATGACAAATCTTGTCATGGTATCGTTACTTGTAGTGCAGTTTTGGTAGCCTTGACGACAATACAATTTTTATGACGATATATGCTTGAATCATGTTATTTCATATAAACATAAATGATTTGTCTGCCCTCAGTGTATAGTCAAGTAGAAATAATTGCTCGTCTGTGATGCAAATAAAAAAAACCATTATAACAGCACCTGATTCATGAATTTTCAAGGACTTCGCGATACCATGTGACGAACAATGTTAAAACCCCTTTTCACCTAATTGTGAAAACGGAAAATGAACTTTCATATTGATTTTAAATTCTGGCTGTGCAAATAGTAGAAATGAAAACGTAGCGCAAAAAAGTGTCGCGATACCCTTGGAGCGTTGTCTGATACTACAAAGTTATTCAAACTGAAGGTCGCGAGACGGAGTTTGGTTAGAGGACTTGGCGACTGGAAGTTAAAAGTCTTGACATAAGGTTTGAGATGTACATCTGGTTTTAAAAGAACAGTAATCAGTAGAAACCGACAATACAGTCGAAAGCGAGCCAATTATGATTGCGTTGCCATAGGCTCATATACGACAGATGACTTGTAGTGGCATTGGACAATAGCCACACAATCCACAAAGCTGTGAACACGAGACTACTCAGAAAATAGATATTCAATATTTGACTCGGGGAAATACCTAACAATGGAGAAGGCGCGGAGAATGAATTGGAGTTGATCGAGTGGCATGGCTCGGCCATGCAGGCGTGGTCTCTGCTGAATATTACCTTATATCTTTTATTCATATTAAATATATTGTTCTTTCTCCAGCCTAAGCTTGTTCTTCATCATGTATTGGTAGTTGTTACGATACGGTGAGTTGGTGTAGTCAATGGTGTGACTTCCACGTAAGATCTTATAGATTAGGCAGTTATAACATGAAAAATCTACAAATTTAGGATTAGGTCTATTGTTAGAGCAGTACTAATATCATAGTAGACCACAATTCTACATTTGTGAGCCCGACGTGAACCGACTTTCCTACGGAAGTCGATTCTAGGGGAAGCTAATGAAACAGCTCAGGTTGGTTGGTTAAGAGGTGACCCCAAACAACCAAGCATATGCCAAAACAGTATTGTTCAAGTATTCACTCACTTCCTTATTTTTATAAGCGTTATATTCCCTATTATCTTATATTGAATGTTGAGAGCCTTTGTTTGTCTGAACAGATAATCCAACGCTCCACTGTGACTGCGCGAAGATCGAAATAAAGACCCATTCACTACTTCTCTGGTTTCTTCTATCAATAGCACGAGGGTTACCTTAAGGCACGAAAGACTCAATTCATACGCTTTGATGTATGTCGGAGCGTTCATCTTGTTGTGCAAATGAAATATGGCAACTTGGACCGATGCATTATGTGCCTGGTCCTACGTTGTAGCCGACTGGGTACGATATTCTTAAGA